GAGGGGCAGAGAGAGGGAGACAGACCCTGAAGCAGGCTCAGGGCTCCGAGCTGTCAGCACAGAACCTGTCTCGGGGCTCGAACTGACAGACCCACAAGATCATGTCCTGAGCCAAAGTCAGATGCTTAAACGACTGAGCCACCCAGGTGCCCCCTAACTGCTAATATTTTAACATGTTTGTGTACAACCACTTACTTATCATACTGTACATATAATGTATATCACTTCTGTATCAGATATATAAGCATTTCTTAATTTTTCTTTTAAAGTAGTTTTTAGTAATATATATGTTGTCATATTGATAAAATGTATTTTTTTAAGTAGTCTTAGTTAAGGACATCTTTTTCTGTTGTACTTAAGGATGCAGTAAATGGTGTTTTAAATACAGCTTCAGCTATATCTCTGCACTTTCCATGTAAATTCCTAGATTACTAAATCAAACATTTTTCTGACATACTCAATTTCTCATTAGCTCTTACATGTTATTAAGAAAGTTGTGTTTAACTTTGCTTTCTTTTTTTTTTTTTCTTTAAATTTATTTTTTTAATAACCTCTACACCTGGTGTAGGGCTCAAACTCACAACCCTGAGATCAAGAGTCACATGCTTTTCCAACTGAGCCAGCCAGGTGCTTTCCTCCCTTCCCCCCTTTCAAAGCTTACTTATTTTTCCTGCTTCTTAGCTATCCCCAGCACTAGGGCTGGCCCATGTCACCCAGCCCACCGATACCAGAGCGGTGGTCTGATCTGCAGTGCGACATTTCAGGGATACAAAATCACCTGAAGAAAGAAAAACTTGAATCATTGAGTATATATGAGCAGAAGCCATCTGACATTTACAATGTAATTATTTGAAACTCTTAAAGTAGAGCTAAAGCTTTACAAAGTAACTGTTAATTCTGATTATAATCAGTGTCACAAGACTTCTTAAGTAGATTGTTATAATAAAGTTGTGTTTACAATGAAGACATTAATAATTACAGCAGATTGGATTCGAAACCCAGGACCCAGCCCAGTGCGGTGCTCTCAGCCAGAAGGAGGAGGAGGGAAGGGTGTAGTCTCGTGCCCTGCTGTGCTTTTGTTTTACAGTTTGGGAAGGCTTCCTCTGTGAGGGTCACAAAAAATAGAGACTTAAATACTGGGATTGTAAGTGAGAAGTGCTTTCAGGACAGGACCAGAGATAGTATTTATAAAAATGATTGTCCACATTTTTTTGTAACTGGATCAGTAATGCACAGTTATCCTGATGTAGCACAGTGATACAAAGTGCTTAAAGTTTATATAAACTCTCTCTGATTTCTTTGCTCTAATGTAATGTTATAAGCTATAAATGCCACAGCCTAAAACAATAAGCTTTATTTTGCTGCTGGTTTTGGCCAATGCAGATCATAAAAAGATGAGGAAAAGTACATACAACCATTGAAATTTTAGAGTTCTACTCAAATATTCCCATTTTATGGAAACGGGTGTCTATTTGTGCCGTGGGTTTTCCTGTGGAAGAGATTACCTACCTCATTTATCCAGACTGTCACATAAATGACTTTCTCAGCCTCTCCTACTGGAGGCTTCTGACGTACCTATATTTACTAATCTAACTTCTCGGGCCTTCCTTACCAGGGAGTAAGAGTGCAAAAATTCAGTCGGGGATATTTGGAAAGGGATCTACTTATTCACGACACAATGCCGAAAGACTTTTTAAAAAGTTGATACTTGACAAGATTTTGGATGAAGACTTATATATCAATGCCAATGACCAACCAATTGCCTATATGGTGCCAGGAAATAAAGCCGAAACTGTACTAAATGGGCATTTAAAGGTATGGTATTTTAAATGTTTATTTTACTTTATTACCTTACAGTGAGTGGGCAGAAAATATATTACCGCAAATTAAAACATCTTTTCCAAAGCTTATGGATACTAAATTTCTATATGCTGTCCTATGTGAACGTATTCTGTTCCTCTTAACTTGGAAAGAGATCTTAAAATTGAACCCAAGTAATGTAGTACTTGTCAAAGTGAATTCGATGGGTTGTCCGATCTCTGAATCATCCTGTATTCGTTAGGTAAACATTTACTAAGAAGCCGTTCTGTGCTAGGTACTGGAGATGGACAGAGGAGGAGTGCTCAGCCCCTGTTCCCAAGGGGCCTCCAGTATCTACTTGGCATAACCAAAATACAAAAAACCAAAAGCCAAAAAATGCAGTTAAGGATTAAACAAAGCCTATATTTGGATACAAGCGCACGTGTCCCCACTCCTATGATCACTTTCTTTCTCACAAAGGTAGACTTTATGGAAACGGAAAACTCCAGCAGTGTGAAGAAGCAGAAAGCTTTGGTGGCAAAGATGTCTCAGAGGGAAGAGATAGTTAAGAAATGTCTTGGAGAACTGACGGAAGTCTGCAAATCTCTGGGAAAAGTTTTTGGCGTCCATTACTTTAATATTTTTAATACTGTCACTCTCAAGAAGCTTGCAGGTGGGTATGTGTGAGTCTTCTATTATGTGGCGTAAATTAATAAGCCAAAAGTTAATCCTGCTATGGAACTTTTTAAGTGCACTGATATAGCTCCGTTTATTTTCATTATTTAATCTCTAAATTGAAAGCTCAGGTATGGAAACCAATTTGATAATAAATTTCATATATTGAAAAAAAAGAGAGAGAGACTCTAAATAATATTAGAGATCAGACTAAGATAGATAGATAGATAGATAGATAGATAGATAGCTCAGAAAAACAAATGTAAGATGAAATACAGCCTTTAAGGTACATATAATACTTTGTTATTCAGACATACAGTATAATTTTAATTTTATACTTTTTCCTCTAATGCCAGACGTTAGGATGTGGATATTTATAATCTCTACCACCAGCTGTCACTCGTTGATTGTGTGTCCATTATCTGCCCACTTTATGATGTTTGGCCATGTTATGTACAAATGCCTTTGCCATGAGGAGCTAAGTTCCTTATGAAAAGACATTATGTTTTATGCTTCTTTGAACCTGGCCCTAGCACACTGCTGGTCTTTAGTTGAAAAAAACGTGCTGACCTATTTCCATAGCTTCAGATCCTAATAGGATTGCTCCTGTAAAATCAGGCGTCCACATAGTTGACTGATGAGTGTATATTACCTTCTGGACGCTTCCTTCATAAAATCCCATGATCAACACCTTCTCTCGTTTCCATTCCTGTTCCTGCCACTGTAGGTCATGACAGCATTTCATCAGCTCTGAGCCACCGTCTATGTTAAGACACTGCTATTTTATAGACAATTAAGGAAGAAAAAAATGTGCTAATTAAGTGGTGACATGGTGCTTTTATTGAAAGAATTGTTTTTTACTTATTTACATATAGATTTTTATCATTATACAATTCTCTACATATGTGAAAAATGCATAGAATCAAAGCAAGTTGATTTAGGTACTTGTAAAAGTTCATATTCAAAGCCTGACTCTTCGGAATCAGTTTCTGACTCAGTCGTCCATGTCTTTTGTTTGCCCTCGTGTCATTGAGAATGTTAGTGACGCGGTCTTTTTTAGCATGGTCCACTCTTTTCACCAGTATTTTAATCAAAACCCATGTCACCCACGCTGATTTGATGGTGGCGTTTCCCTGATGATGCCCGAGAGCATCAGCGGGCGGAGGCACATCTCAGAAGCACGAATGTGACCCTGCTCTGTCTGCTCTGGGGGCCCTTCTGTAGGGCACGTGAAGCGCTTGGCTGTTGCTTGCAAGAAGGTACAGAATCGTGGCCATTTCCTCAAAGACAGATACTTGTTTTATTAGTGGCAAATCTGTTCCCCGTTACCCGGAGCTTCTCTGCATCCACAGTCACTTGTCCTGTGCTGTCTGGTGGACATCTTGTGGGGCAGGTGAACTGCGCACATGCTGACAGCCCGGACAGCCATGACCAGGCCTCACGTGTGCAGGCAGCAGTAGGCATCTGGCCGTCAGCACTTGTAAGCTGCACCTTGACCTCAGGAACGCCACAGCGTGGAAAAGTGTGTGCCTCAGAGTTGATGGAATACAGCATTTTGTTGGTAGGCTCTTAGCGTAGCTTCCTCCCTGGCCCCCTTAACTCCAGAGGTGAACATTCTGCACATTTTAATCTTCCACAAAGTCGGCCGATAACTCCAACATCTTTCTAGAAAAGGTACAGATTCTTTCAAGGGTCTGCATTTCTGCTTGCCGGTCCAACCTCGTCTTCTGTTAACCCTCCGTGATCCTGCTGGTCTGCCCCTTCTCCTCTCGACATAGGAATGATGTGAAAATCACAGATTTGAGATCTGCCCTTTCTTTCCTTTGCTCAAGTTGAATAGAAGGAATGATCTCCTCCTCCCTTCCCTAGCCCCGTGCATCTATAAATCCTGCAGACCTAGCCTCTGCAGTGTCCCTGGATCCCCCTCTTCCGTCCGAGTGCACCGCCACACTGTGGCTCCCTGCGCCCTTGCCTGCCCTGCGGTGGCTTCCGCCAGGCTCCCAGGTTCCACTCTTTCCCCCACAGTTCATTTTCCATGCAGCAGCCAGAGCGATCTTTAAAATGACGGGCTTGTCCAGCTACAAGGCTGATGTGCCATCTGTCTGCAGAGGACTCTTAATGGCCCGCTTGTTCCAGTCCAAATACTTGCTTCACCCCACCTGCGGACGGACTGGAGGAAGAACGGGTTTGGGTTGGGGATGGAGTAAGAATTCAGTGACGGCCTCGGGTTGGATATGCGTGTCTAAAGTGCAGGGGCGAAGTCAGAGCCGGAAATGGAAATGTGGGCGTCCTCCGAAACAGGGAGCATCAGTGTTGCAGCTAGACAAGTCTTTGTTGTGAGAACAGTGGACGACAGCAAAGTGTGCTTCAGCTCTGAGACCCGCTGCACAGGTGCCCACCTCCCGTTTCCCCCACCCCGTGTCCTGTGCTGTCCCCCACCGTCTGCCCAGATTCATGCACCTTTGCTGCTGGAATTGCATGATGGGCTCCTGTCCTCTGGGCCTGTCTGCCGCCTCTGTTGGCACTAACTGCCTCTCAGAAAATTGGCCCGGGTGCCTGGTGCCCTGCAGTTAGCTGGCACTTGACAGACATGCGCTGAATGAGCAAATGAGCACGAATTCAGTGGCTTTTCCATGGGTGGTCATTTAAATTCCTAATTTTATGCCCATGCACAGAATCTTTATCTTCCGATCCTGAGGTTTTGCTTCAAATTGATGGCGTTACTGAAGACAAACTGGAAAAATACGGCGCAGAAGTGATTCCAATATTGCAGAAATACTCGGAGTGGACATTGCCAGGTGCAGTATATAGCTAAATACGTGTTTTCTAAAAGCCTGTTTTAACGTGAAGCACCGCATGTCACTGAATTAGAATTTTGTGGTTTCTGGGTTGTGTCAGTGCCTCCTACACCCTGTCACACTGACGCTCAAGTGCCCAGAGCAGCCCCCGGTGTTTGTGATGTGCCAGGCACCTCTTAGGGGACACTGGTGAGCCCCCCGGGGAGTGCCAGTCCTTGGGCCTGGGAATAGGGCCCAGAGGAGGACCTTTGGGCCCAGGAGTTCCTGTTCTATTAAAGGCAAGTGCCCAAGGAAATCCAAATCTGCCACCATCGCACTCTGCTATCCCTGGCAGGCCACAATAACCTCGTTGTGCTTGGTTTCCTTATCTGCGGAAGGCACACGTTATCTGACAAACACGTGGAAAGATAAAATTCAGGAGTTTAAATGTTTGGGGAAAATGAACGTGTAATTGGAATGCTAGATAATCTCATCGTTACTGGAAAGAATCTGCCCAAGTGAGCTTGTTGTTAGCAGACGATCCCGAGGATGTGGCCTGTCACGTCGCCCCTCTCCTTGTGAACCTCATCACTGAGCTACCAGACAGGATTAACTAGGAGAAGATCGGCACGAGGAAGGTTTTGTTATAGGAGATGCCAGTTCCTCTGCCCTCCTCCAGCATATTGCCATGCAGTGAGACACAAAAGACAAGCCAAGTTCAGTGTTTTTCCTGTTTCTGTAACAAATGGCTGGGGGTTCTTCTCAAGGCTAATGGAAAAGATTAGCAGGATGAGAAATGAGTGAGCCTGTGTTTCAAGTTCTGTCTCTCCTCATTCGTTTTTTATCCATTAACAAAATGCTGAAAAGTAGGATTTTTAAAAAATTCCTCTGCATGGTAATTATTCCATTAAGAGCCTTGCTTTGAATATTGGTAGGAACTTAACATTTGTTTAGTGTAGTAACTTGTCTGGAAGGGGATTCTTGCCCACATAAGACGGGCTGCTCTGTGGAAACAGCCCACAGTGTGGTGACGATCGCTCCCACTTACTGAGGGACAGACGCTGTGCCAAGAGCTTTGCCTGTTTTGTATCATTCGATCCTCAGAACTACGCCCATTTCACAGCCTTTTTATGTCCAAGTCCCACAGCTAGGATGACGGGACGACAGCTTTGCCAGAGCCTCGCTGCCTCCCCGTGTGAACCAGTGTTGGACGGATGAGGAGGCCCGGGGATTAGGGCCCTTCCTGCCAGGCAGGAGGGTGGCTGGAGTGGCCAGGAAATACCTTCCTTCAGAAAATGGAGCTGGGGGGCACCTGGTGGGCTCAGTCGGTAGAGGCTGTGACTCTTAACCTCACACTCTTAACCTCAGGGTCGTGAATTCAATCAAGCCTCACGTTGGGCATGGGGCCTAGTTAAAACTGAAAGAAAGAGGAAGAAAGGGAGGGAGGAAAGGAGAAAGGGAAAGGGAGGGAGGAAGAGGAAGGAAGGGGAAGGAAAGGAAATGTAGCTGGGATCCCTATTGACCTACAGAGAGGTTTTATGCTTTTTAGGTGCCTTAGGATGCCAGTGCTTGTGGAAATAGCCACCTTTTTTGCAAACTGGCACTTTCATGCAGACCCATTTCCCGCATAGTATATGAAATGTTTACAACTATAACGTAAAGAAGTGGTTTGTGACTTTAAAGAATATAAATGGGGCCCAGGGTTTTCTGACACTCGTTCACTGAGTAACCGTTCAAAGATGAGGTGCAGAACATAGTTGGTTATGTTTCTCTTCCATTGGGCGCTTTTTCCAGCACGTGTAAGATGGTAAATTGGTCTTATGTAGCACTCCCTACTTTTCGAAGAGTTTAACGGGATTAGCTGCCCGAAGGATCACAGGGACGAAGGCCATACACAACAGAGTATGAGCTAGGCCTGACGTCTCTAGTTAAGTTCAGGAGCGTCACAAACTTCTGGGGCTCCCGGCTGGCTCAGTCAGGAGAGCAAGTGACCCTTGATCTCAGGGTTGTGAGTTCAAGTCCCACATTGGGCGTAGAGTTTACTTTAAAAAAAAAAAAAAAGGTATCTCAAGCTTTTTTAATGAATTCTGATCTTTTTGCTTTAAAAGTAAACTTCCACTGAGGACTTTGGGGCTCTGTGACATGAAAGAGAAATGTTCAGTTCTTGCAGAATTGTTGAACCCGTGTGTGGCAGGAGGACACCCGGGAAGCAGCTGGGTGTCCGCCAGACCGCACCCCTGTGTTGTGTCCACAGGGACCATCAGCGCACCCGGGCCAGCACAGCGTCGCATGTAAACGTCTGCCTTGTCTGCTTGCAGCCGATGACGGATCCCCCCGGGTGAGTCCGGGCAGCAGCAGAGGCACCAGAAGAAATGCCCCTGTGGAGTCCGATGAGGAAATGCCCGTATCTTCTCACTACTTTGCAAATAAAACCAGAAACGAAAGAAAGAGGAAAAGGATGCCAGCCTCCCAGAGGTCTAAGAGGAGGAAGACTGGTTTCGGTGGCTCCAACACAAAAGGGTACGTCCGTCCTGCGTTGCGGTCTGTGGGGTGGCGGGTCAGGGAGGAGCGGCCAGAAGCGGAGCGGCCCCGGTTCGCTTTGAAGCTCTTATTAAAACAGACTGTCGTCAAACGTCGCCTCTCCAGTTAATGGGGTGATGATTAAGGTTTGAGCCAAAACAGAAACATTTGTTTCAGATTTTTTTTAATCTCTACTCCTAAATTGATTATCGCCTCGGTTTTCTAGTCTGCATGAACATCTCCCGTTTTGACGTTACCCTGGCGGGGGGGATTTTTTTTTATCAGTGCTCTTCTTAAGGGACTTTTCCACCTAAAATATTATAAATCATATACTGGCTGAGTAAACAAAGGGTTTTGTTTTTTATGACCATCAGTACCTGCTATGCCACTTTTACTGCTACAGAACGTGCGGGCCTCCACCTGGCAGTCCTCCACGCTCCCAGTTTGGTTATACCTGGGGAGAGCCAATCTCCCCACCTTTGCAGGGTAGCAGAGAAGAGGCCACAGCAGGTGAACCCAAAGGTCCTGTAAGCCAGGCCTCTAAGGGCTGTGTCTCCCCTCCCTCACACTTGCCTGGCCCCTGGGCTGGGATGCGGTGACTTTGGGGCGCTGCCTGCACGCCAGCAGGGAGTCGGGTCCTGGGTGACGATCTGTGCAGTGTCCTTATTCTTGGTAATTGCACTGGTCCTGACAGCGCCTTCTTCTGACAGCCTCTGCCTTTGCCTTGTGGGTAAGTAAGGTCTGGCGGGACCGTGACCTTCCCATCAGTCTGGAGAACCCGGCCCCCAGCTACCTGCACATTCTAACACAAAGGGCTTACAGAAAAGAGGGAACAAGTCCTCAGTAAACTTTTACAAGCTGTTGTGTTTTTCTTTGCAGTTTTTCTACCTCCTTTCCTTCTGGGTAATAAAAAACAAAACGGCTAGGGGAAGAGGAAGGAAGGCAAATGTTAACAAATTGTCATTTTCCTGTTAAGTCCATAAACAAGCATCTTGTACATGCTAATCCTTCTGCCAGGGTACAGAAGTTAAAGGCATTAGTAAATGTTACTTTAATTTTGTGGCTTTTAGTGCGCAAGTGACCAGCAGATGTTCTTTGGTGGGGACGTTTTCGTACTTTCCTCATTTACTCCTCCATTTGGGGAAATAGCCATTTCCTCAGGAGCTCATGGAGTAGAAGGAGAATGTAAAAGGCATCTGGTCTAGACCCCTGGGGTTTATGACACGGGGGAGGCTTGCGTGAGCCTCTCCCCAGCCCCGGGGCTCCAGGTCCCAGGTAGGACTGGACTCTGGCTGGCCCACGCCTGCCCCGAGCACCCTCATTTCTGCACGTCGCCCACGGAGATCCCTCACACATGATTATGATCTGACCATTCTTACTTGTTCGGACAGAGCACCCCATATTTCAGTGTTCGTTGCCCTTGGCTCCCTTTCCAGTTTTCCTGACTTCTGTTTATAAGAGTGAAGCACTTTGCCCTGTGGGTTAGAGCTAATCTAAGAAGAAGCCGTAAAACTCACACTTACCCAAAAGCCAGTACCAATTTTGATGCTGGTTGTTAATTAGCCTGCGTGTTTACAATGGGAGTCTTTTCTAATCCCTACTGGCCAAAACCACGGAGTTTTGTAACTTTTTTTTTTTTTCCGCCCTTGTAGCAGCCTCCAACGTGTGCTTCATTCTCTTCTTCGTTTGCACTAAACTGCTGTGATGGTTTCCCAGTCTCCAGTCTGCTCACCTGGCTGGGAGTCTGTGCAGCAACAGAATACAAGTGGCTCTTTGCCAGAGACCTTAAGTCCCCACCCCGCCCTCAGAGTTTTACATCTCCAGAATAACACACAATGAACCGGTTGTGTTCCCGGGCCCTCTGAGTGGGAGTAAAATGGATGGCCCGGGTGAAATGGAAACTGCTGTTGGCAGATTCATTCTGTAAATCAACATAAACAGCAGGTTTTCGCTCAGGGCTTAATTTCTCAGCAGGAAATCAGCGTAGGGAAATTTAAGGCTGCTTCTCTGCCGGTGGAGCAGATCTTTGCCAGTTCTGCAATAAAACCGCCCTCCAGCAAGAGTTTAAAAATGTGGAAAAACCACTCTTCACCCAGCCCTACCAGAATGTCCTTAGACCCTGGCCCCCAAATTCAGAGATAGGAGGCCACTTGGATACCCCATGCCATGGAATTACCTCTGGGCATGGATTCAGCGTGGTTACAAGCCATGGAAAATGCCCGCACAGGGAGAGGCTTCTGCTGTTATCCTAGTAGAATGCTGGCTCCCTGACCCTTTCCTTTGGTTTCTTTCTGGGGAGAAAAAGAAAAGCTGATATCTTCGGGTCAGTGAGGGAAGTGAGGTGCGGGAAGGACTCTATAATCGGCTGGGGCAGGGCTCCTGCCTGATTCGAAAGGCAGCAAGCAGGAGGTGAGAGTGGGCTAGAGAGCCGGCTGCCGGTGACGTGGCCCTGACACGCACGCAGACCCAAGCGCCTCCCCGGGGAGCCACATCTGCAGCCTCCCTCTTGCGGGTCCGGCCGGGAGGAGGCCCCTCTGTGCTCTGGTCACAGCCCTGCGGGCAGGCACTCGCCCACACAGCTACCTTTCTGGGCAGTCACAGTCATTCCAGAGTGTCTGTTGTCCGGGCATTTGGGACCTTAAGCCGAAGTATTCTCGCTTCCTTCACTTGGTCAGAATAGATTAAGGAATGTGGATCTGGGCCGTGTCGTCCAGAGGGAAGGTTTGACGATCAGCGGTGAAAGGGGTGGGTGGGGGCAGGCACAGGTCTGTCCATCTCAAGTCACAGAATTAAGAAACGTCTAAGACAAATTCAAGGCAAAAGTGTGTGAAGGGCAGTAATCCTTCATTCCTCGAACTGTAACAGAAACTTCCTTACAGGGGCCCCTGCGGGCAGCAAATGCACAGACACGGAAGACCAAGGAAAATCATGGACTGATTATATAGGTCCGCACAGGTTAAGAGCAAGAAGACTGTTCGCTTTTGGTCTTATTTAACATTTTCGTTTTCTTTTCTTTGTCACATTTTAGGGGGTCCACCACGTGCAGAAGGATATCTGCTAAAAGTAAATCCTCCAACATATTTGGACCCCGTTCGCCTTTGCCTGGTCCCCAAGCAGCACCAGGAGCCAGTAGAAAATTGGGGATTATGGCTCCACCAAAGCCTATAAATAGACCGTTTCTTAAGCCTTCGTATGCATTTTCATAACAACCAAATCTCCATGTACATAGATCTCCTTTCTCGTTTGTCAGCGTCTTACCATCTGTGAACATAAAGCTGTTAGTTTTGTTGTACCATTTGTAATTTTTACCCGTAACTATTAATATTTAAATAAATGCTTGGGGTGACAGTTCTTATTTTTAAAATAAACGTTTTCTTTTGAATAAGCATGATTTGCCGCCACGGCAAGCCTTGTGGCCGTTGTTTCTCAGAACGTCTGAAGCAGCAGCTGAATCATCTCAGAGAGATTCTGAGCACGACATGAAAAACTGAGGCCGCAGGAAGAGACACGCGTGGGACACTGTGAACGTGTGAAACTGCAGAAGGAGACATAAACAAAATTAAAAGACAAATGACAGAGAAAATAGGAAAAAAATATATGACAATGTCAATAATACAGAGTGCCTATAAATCATTAAGAAGAAAAAAAGAGTCGGTAGAAAAAAATGAACAAAGGATGTGAGTAGGCTGTTCCCAGAGGAAATACAGTAGCCCACAAATATGGGGAAAACACCTAATCTCCCCAGTTAAAAATACAAATTAAAACTGGGGCACCTGTGTGGCTCGGTTGAGTGCCCCAGCTCTTGATTTCGGCTCAGGTCATGATCCCAGGTCTTGGGATCGAGCCCCACATCGGGGTCTGCACTGAACGTGGAGCCTGCTTGAGATTCTCTCCCTCTGCCCACCCCTTCAAATGAAAGTAAATAAATAAAATTTCAAAACATATAAGTTACATTGCCAACAGTGGAGAAGATCCCCAAATCTGGGGTCAACAAGAGAATGGACATTTTTTGGCAGCTGTTTTCTGCCTATAGGTCCTGTCCCTGTGCTTTAATAAAATCACCTCTTTGTACCAAAAAAACAAAGAGAATCACCTTTTTTTTTTCCCCTGGCACAAAAAGTGGTTTTTTGAGGTTGTTGAGAATGGTCAAACATTCTCTTGGTAAGAATATAGGAGCTGTTGATGTTTAATAGTAGGGAGACTTGACTTTTCAAGACCTTCCATTGATAGGCTGATTGGTCAGACAGTTGGGTTTTTTGGGTTTTTTTTTTTAATGTTTATTTTTGTTTTATTTTGAGACCCAGAATCCGAGGCAGGCTCCAAGCTCTGAGCTGTCAGCATAGAGCCCAACGTGGGGCTCAAACCCACAGACGGCGAGATCATGACCTGAACAGAAGTCGGGACGCTTAAACCAACTGAGCCACCCAGGTGCTCCTGGTCAGCAAGTCTTAAAGTGGGATTTTAGCTCCTCTTTGGAGCTTTAGTACCTCATTTTTGGAAACCTTTTGTTTCTTAGCTGTAAGTAACCTTGGTGACCTGTTTGGTGTCCCAGTTTCTCTCCTTGATCTCCGGAGGGTTGGGGGTGAGGAGGCCTTCTTGCCTGGGACGAAGGTTTTGAAGTCGGAGTTGGCTGGTAGCCATGTGGCCTCCACCTGCTGGCTCAGCACTGAGGTGGACTCTGCACCCACCTTGAGAGGCAACCCTGGGCTGCACACCTACTTCCTATTTCCTTGTCCTCCACCTGGGGCTCTGGCTGCACGTTTCATGGAGGAGACTGACCAGGCAGGAGTCTGCTGAGGGCCGTACCCTATTCTCAAGACCTCCCCGGAGCTGACATTTTCAGAGAAACCGTCTTTCCAGCAAGCACTGACTCCAGTAGCCAGCAGAACCTTCTCGGGGTGAAGAAAGGAAACCAAGGACAAAGGAGCCAGTGGCCGAGGCTGCTGGGACAGTGTTCCCCGCATAAGGCCACCTTGGAGTGTGGGCGACGCACGAGGGCGTCTGGCGGGTCACACCCTTCCACCTGTAGCAGCTTCGGCTTTGGGGAGTGGGGGGCGGCCTCTGCACAGCGCCAACGCCACAAACGGCGGCTCACTTCCTGGTTCCGACCTCACGCATTCGTTCCTTCGCTGAGGCTGCTTCTGCCCAGACAGACACAGGAGACCGAGGTGTCTGAGGGAGCGCCCCTATCTCCGGAGGTTCCCAGAGCGATGGACACAGCCACAGGAGCGGGGAGCTGAGGCGGACAGAGCTGACCCTGACCCCCACCTCCCAGCAGGAACCTGAGGCCTGGAGACGTGTGACCAGCCCAGGGTCCTATGGCAGAGCGGCACCCTGCACCCAGCCCTTTAAAAATTCTGGGTTGGAACAGGCTCCTTCGCTAACTCCGGCCCCAGGAACGGGCACAGAAAATGCAAGCAGCGTCCTCCTTTTCTGCCTCCAGCCTTCCCGGATCCCCTGCGGGGAAGGCGGCTGCTTCCACACGGGGGCAATCTCAGGACGACAGGAGCACACAGGCTTTTTTGTGCTCCTGGCGGCCAAAGAGCCGCTGTCCGCAAAGCTCCTGGGCCCTGGTGGGGCTCCACGTGCACAGAAGCCACCACGGCCTGGAAGGAAGGTAGGGGACAAGTCCGCCAGAGTCCCACCCTGCTCAGATACAGGAAGTTGTGAGGGCAGGGCCGGAGTCTGGGCTCTACCCCCTGCCGCCGTCAGCCCTCTGGAGGACACAAGGATTGGAATCCGACTCCAGCTGTATACACACCCTCGCTAGGCTCTCCCGCCATGAGGACCCCGAAGAGCTGACAGGTCCTTGCTTACTTTTAAGGACGGGAACCCCACTTCTTCACAGGAGGAGAACAGACCAGCAAAGCCCACTCTATGCCAAAGGCTGTTCCAGGAATCTTCACATAATTTAATTCTTTCCTTTAATCCCTCCGACAGCCCTGAGAGGCAAGCACATGATATTAGAGCTTTTTGTATGCAGAAACCAGAATTCAGAGAGGTTATATAATTGCCCGAATCCACACAGCTAGGAAGTGGCCGATAAGTAGGGTAACATGCACCCTGGTTTGCCCTGAAGAGTCCCAGTTTACATTTGCTGTCCTGGTGTAAAGACCGCTCACTTTCATTCTGGAAAGTGCTCCAGTTTAGACCATAAACCGTAAGGAATCCAGGTCTGTGCTCTTTTCCCTGGACAATCCAGCCTCCTCTCCCAACCCCGATTTTCCATCCAAAGCCCCGAGGGCCACCTGCCACCACCTGCTAAGACACCAGGCCCCTGGGGGAGCCTGCGGGCATGGAGCTGCAGAATTATCAGCCAGCACAGCTGACCTGCGGTTTTTCTCCAGAAGCGAGAAGAGGAAGCAGAGGCCGTGCTCCAGGCCCCCTGGCTCTTCCGAAGAAACGGCGTCTCCTGCGTTTCCTGCGACTTGGAGCTGCTCCGAGCCCCCAGGCCCACCTACCCCGTGTCTCTCCTCTGAGCAGCTGCCAAAGCGGGCAGCAGCCACGGACGGGTCTCATCCAACCTTGGGCTCCCACCCTGGCAGAGGCATCTGGGCAAGAGACAGTGGCCTCTGGGCCCCTTGTGAGCATAGGGTGGAGTCCCCAAGAGGCTCCGGCAGCCACTTCTCCCTCAGTGCAGCTGCCACGGCCCCCACATGGCCTCCCAGACGGTCGGAACAAGCCAGCTGTTGGGACGCGCTCAGGGGAACCCAGCCCTGACCAGACCCCGCTCGGCGCTTCAGTCCGCGGGCTCAGCCCTCTCACGGTGAGGCAAGGCCTCGACGTCTGCAGCTGCGCACTCATTGTCCTGTTCTTTCCGCCTGCCCCCCCCCCCCC